CTTTAAGATTGTTTTCGCTCGAGCTGGGTTCCTAACAGTAAATAGTGCTGTACTTCAGATTTCTTTTTCCCGTGTGCTTCTGTATCCTAATCTTACCCTGCTGCCTACTACTGCTGCAAGTTTGCACGATCTTGCCCCAAAGACAAAGCAGGAAAATTCCTGCCGTTGTTTTGGAAAAGGATCAAGCAGTTGAATGTTGGCGAAAGCAGAGGGGGCAGCAGAAAAAGCCTGTTAAACTCAGATAGGTCAGTAAAGATGTTATAATTTTGTTGGTTTGTCCCAGATTATACAGGACAAAGATCCTGGGGAGAGGTGAAATAGAAACAGTATGTAGAAGGTTTCTGTTAGCACCTTAGTAGTTGTCTTAATCTTAGGAGCTTTCTCTAGAGAAGAAACCTGTCTCCAGCTAGCTTGAAATGCACGTTGGCGTCAGTTGGAACTACTGAAGCAATTGTTGTCGGGCATAAAATAGCCAGTGTCGCTCTGGGGAGTAGCAATTCCCTTTTTATCTGAGAGAGTGAATAAAAATCATACTAAAATCAGAATTTGGAACAAACCCTGGGTACCAAAATATTGCAGATCTCTCTATTTCTGACATTTTGTGGTCTTCCGTCTTTTTAACTATTTTCTTTTCAAGAAGTTGTTTAAGTGTTAATGTCAATTGTTACTACATAGCTGTCTGAGCCTGCAATAATTATTACAGCCCTGCTTAAGTGTCTGTTCCTTTTTATCCAGAATGCTTTTGCACTGAAAAAACTTGAGGCTGTTTGCTGCTTGGGCCTTTCTCAAGGAAATAATGCAGCATTATTAGTACAACATCAAAGAGATTGGTTTTGATCAGTCAGCTGTCAAGAAGGTGGAGAGATTAGATTTATCATAAATGATTAATTAACCTTTCATGTACTAAACATTCATCTTACTGATGTACTTTCTATTAATTTATGTTTAATATTAATACAAACTGTTGTGACAGTATAGTCTTAAAATGCTGTGGATATTGAGGGAACTCTTGTTATGACAACCCTATTTTTTCTGGCTTGTGTGTTAAATAACCTTAATAACACAGTAATGTCTTCTGTAACGTTTTAGCTTGTTTTACTGAGTGCAAAGGGATTGTCACGTGCAGTTTCCTAAGTAGTCGCTGGTACAATGACGGTTGTCCTAAGTTCGGGACTGGTGAGTTCCTGGGAGGGAAGCCACTAGCAGTGGTACACCCCTTAGTTTGCTGCAGTTTAAACTCTCATTTGTGGTAAGAAACATTCCTAAATATAGTGACAAGTGTATTTCTCTGGATTTTGAGTGTTGTTTTGAGGAATGTTCCCCATTCCTGTCAGGTAAGGGTGGAAAAGACTATAAGCATGAAAAATTGATGTTCTGAAAGAAGCCGCTCAGGTGTTGTAGCTTCTCCAGGAGTGACGAGTATCGTAAGAACTTACATTGCAAAACTGGGGAGAATCCAGTCAAACAGCTCAGCAGCCGTGTCGGAACGAACGGCAGACTCTGACTTTCTGTACGAGGCCAGAGCTCCTGCTGCTGGGTGAGGAGGTGTCCGTGTGTCCCCTGAGATCAGGAGGAGGCGACTGGCTCTGGTGTGCAGTGTGTGAAGTTTTTTTGTTTCAAAAACTCTTGGAGTGCTGCTCTGTATTCCTATGGGTGGCGCAGACGGAGGATTATTAATGTTGTCGTACAGGGAAATGTTTTTCAGGGTACCTGCTCTCTGCAGAGTTGCCCCGTTACACGGACACCTGTCAGCGGATGGGGATGAGAACTCCCGAGGGTTGTGGCCCACCCAGCTTTAAACGGTCGGGAGAATGTAGATGAGGAAAATGTGGCAAGAAATGTCATTGTCGCACAGGAGGTTTGCCGCGTAAATGTCAAGTGCAGTTCAGTTGTTTTAAGAATGGCATTTCCTTTGCAAGTGACAGGGGAGCGTTGGTGAAATGGTTGTGACCAGTGCGGGGAAAAGCCTCGTGCAGTTCTCCCCCATTTCTCTGCCCGAGGTGCCTCTGCCGGTGGCTGTATGCGGCAGTTTAGAATAAAGGGAGGAATTATCTGCTGTTCATAGGGAAGTAAGAGTGGTAGAAAAATAAAGTTGAAAAAACGGTTTCCAAAAGGAGGTCCCTGCCTCGTTGTGGCAGGTGTTAGGAAAAGATGCTTCATGATGGAAATTCCATCTTTACCCATCTTTTAAATCAAGTTGTCTGCAAAACCGCGGGTTTTTTCTTAGCCATAGGAGAGCATTTCACTTAGGATGCCAGTTATATGGGAGATAATTTGTAGTGCGTTTTGGTCTCTATTCAAGTTGATTCTGTTTACAAAAAGGATTTTCTGGTGTTCGTTCGCAGCCATTGAACTAAATCTTGACGTGCTGCTGGAGCTTATTCATGCTCTGCTTTTGAAAAGACCCTACATTTATGGGGATGTATTTAAATGCAATTAATGCTCTTTTCTTGTTGAGGCATTTTGCTTACGTTTTGATTTTTAAAAATTAACCATCTTAGTCTCTGACGGTATTTATACTTCTTTTGACAGTAATCCAGTCCCTCATAGCACTGGTGAATGATCCACAGCCCGAGCATCCCCTCCGGGCTGACCTAGCTGAAGAATACTCTAAGGACCGTAAAAAATTCTGTAAGAACGCTGAAGAGTTTACAAAGAAATATGGTGAAAAGCGACCAGTGGACTAAAATCTGACACAGTTGATGTCAGCAACGTATGATAGAAGATCGGAGCAGTGCATTTGAGACACCCCGTAAAGCAGGACTCTATGGAAAATTGACAAGTGCCACCTTTCGGTGTTAACTTGTGGCTGTTACTAACTTTCTACAGTTTTCTTAATCAAAAGTGGGCTAGGTAACCTGTAAAGAAAGGATTAAAATTTAAGATGTTCTAGTTCTGCTTTCTTTGTTTAAAAATCACTGCTTCAATATACTTTAAAGTATGCTGTTTTCTTTTTCTTGTCAGAATTTATCAAAAATATCTTAGACTTATATTCTGCCCTTAAATTGAAAAGGTTGTGGCTGTCATTTCTTATTTTTCCTTGCAGATCCCACTATCTTGAGTTCATTTAATTCTTCATTGAATTTTATCTCCCTCCCAAAACCAATGTCTTAGAAAAAATACCCCACTTCTGGCAGAAAATGATTGAGTGTTTGGCAGTTCTGTTTACTTTTCTTTTTAAATGTTGCACTGTGCTTTGTGGGACTTGTTGCAAGTTCCCCTTAACCTCAGTTTGTAACATAATAAACAAAAACCAAACAAACACCACAAAAAACAATCAGAAATAATGTCCAGGTCTTATGTAAATCTGGCTGATGTTACCACAAAATGTTTATTAAACGGGGAAACCCAAGTTTTTGTGTGCGTCATTGAATTAAAATATGGCTTACGTCCTGCTTTTGGAAAACTCTGGAAAAAAAAATCTGTAGCAAACGAGTAGTGGAATGTGATTATAAACTACTTTCACTTCTGTTCTGAATTCCGATGCAGAGTAGCTTGGGAAACGTGCACAGAACAACATTGCAACCACTTCGGGAGAGTGTCAGCAATTGGGGACCAAGAGGTACTAAAGCGGTGAACTGTTTTTTGAGGTGAAAATCAGCATTTTGAAAATGTTAATTTTGAATTCAAGTATTCAATCTGACAGCACTGCTAGTCACCTTAGAACATTTTCCCATCAGAATACATAAGAAATATCTGTGTTTTATGGGTTGGCACCCATCCTACTTCCCAGCCCAGTTCCTGTACAGTTCTTACTGCAAAGGTGTGAAAATCGGATTAAGCAATAACCTGTGACAGAGTGCGCTTCACTGCTACTGTTCCCGCGTTTCAAAAACACACAGGTTAGATGATGTAACGAGTACTTCAAGTGTCATTCTGTCGTTCTAACGGAACCAGGCAGAGCTGTTTTCCCCTGGCTCCAGGGCACACCTCCGCATGCTGCAGGAAGCCCTTTCTCTTGGGAACCAGGCCCCCGTTGCTGTGTCTCTGCCGCTTGTCTCCCGCCTGCCTTCCCCGGTCTGAAGTGGGATCGTGTGTAGCTCCACAGTCCAACTGCCACACAATCAAACTGCCGCCTCTTCCCCGCCTGCCCAGCTTGGGCACGTTACTGAGCAAGCAGATTTATCTCCAGAAATCCGTAGTATCTGGGAGCACATATCATTTGATGTGCAGGAAGCTGAGTTAGAAACCCCCTCGCCCCAGACGGTTGCTTGCACTCCTCAGTTCAGTTCTAATACAGCCTCTGCCTTTGCAACGTTTCAGAACTAGTGTGTCGAGCTGGTAGGTCTCCTTTGGGTTTAATGTCTTGTATATTTGCTATTTCTTCATTCATCCCTCTCATCTGGCTTCCATTTCCAATTTAGTGTAAACAATGACAGCCCAGTACCTCACCTCGGTTGAAAGTAATTTTTTTTTTTTATGTTAGGGAGCTAAGAAATTTTATGTTTAAGTGTTCTTAGGCAGATTCTTTGGCAGGTAAATAAAGTTAAGCCACATTCACCTTATTTACAGAAACTTGCATTTCCGAAGTGTTTTCAGGCTTGTGAGAGCACTGTCTATTACCAAGTTTTCACATCTTTGTGTCTTCATTTGCAGAAAGTTGGTACTGATTTTGTTTCATTCACGCTCACTTGGATTCATAATAAAAGAATGCCAAATTATCTGTCAAACTGAAGTGTGTAACTTCTGCATCACGTGAGTCACTGTACCTTTGATCGTGTCTGTTGGCATGGAACCTTGCCATCCTCTAAATTTTCTTCTTATTTCAAACAAAACTGTAGCACTAGTTTGCTGCCCTTGTTTCTACTACATCGTGTACTTTCTGGTTGTGAGCCTCTCAGGTTAGAGACTGCGTTTGCGCGAATCGGTGTGACTTGGATGCCGTTGGAAGGGAACCGGAAGGGTTGTGTAATTCAAGGAACTCCGGTCGATCCGTGCGGGCCTGCAGCAGCGCTGTGCCAGCTGTTCGATTTCATCTGCAGAGGTCACGCAGAAGACAGATATTGCTATTGGTTCTCTTGGTGTGCTCTTCATAGTTCCATTTCTAAACTACGCGATGTGTAACCTAAGCGATGGCTTTGTAGGCAGCCCTCTTAAAAAAGGCGGAGATTGAATACTGTACTGCATGGTTGAAGTCTGAGGAGAAAAAAAAAATCAAAGTACGAAGTCCTATGTTAACTCAGGAAATCAAGCTCTTGTTCTCTCTGGTTCCCTAAGCCATGCTGAATTCTAAACGTGCAGTTTAATATCCAAAATAAAAATGACGGACTGGTGAAACTACACCCAGGAGTACTGGTATAGGCTTTCTGCAATTCCATTCTGCTACCCTGAATAAAAACTGCTCTCAAAGGCTTTGTGGTGTGGTTTTATTTTCAGAGAGATGTGGGGTTTGGACTTCTTAAGTATCCTGGTACAATGACGTTCGTAGGCAGGGTCTGAACTCAGTGTTGCCTTTAAAGTGTTCATAGGATCACTGAGGAACTTCCTTATCTCCACACATTTTATGCAGTGGAAAGGTTCTCTTTTAGGAGTTCTTTATTAATTTTTCCATTTAAAAGAAAATTTGGGGTTTAATGGTGTTCATTTAAAGTATGGAATTTGCAAAACACATTATTTTGTTTGCAGTGCAGAGCTAAGGGAGGCTGGATGGGGCGGGGGTGGGCTACCAGAAAATGCCTCCAGCAGAGGAGGGGGTGTGACGGCCTGGCGAGGTGATCGGCTAAAAGCCATCGGTTACAATAAGGAGCAAATTAAAAATTAAAAAAAAAAGGTAAAAAACACCCATTGAAATACGGTCACGTTACCTAGAAAGTTGCAATCAGGCCCTCCCGCTCCTCCCT